CTAAAAAGGCTTCTGCACAGCAAAGAAAACCATTAACAAAATGAAAAGACAACCTACAGAATGGGAAAAAAAATATCTGCAACCATGGATCTGACAAGGAGTTAATATCCAAAATATATATAGAACTCATACAATTCAATAGCTTAAAAAAGATCCAATTTAAAAATGGGCAGAAGGGGCACCTGGGTGACTCAGTCAGTTAAGAGTCTGCCTCCATAAGATGTCCGTCGACAGATGAATGGATAAAGAAGATGTGGTGTATACACACAATGGAATATTATGCAGCCATCAAAAGGAATGAGATCTTGCCATTTGCAATGACGTGGACAGAACTAGAGGGTATTATACTGAGCGAAATAAGTCAATCAGAGAAAGACATGTATCATATGACCTCACTGATATGAGGAATTCTTAATCTCAGGAAACAAACTGAGCGTTGCTGGAGTGGTGGGGGGTGGGAGGGAGGGGGTGGCTGGGTGATAGACATTGGGGAGGGTATGTGCTATGGTGAGCGCTGTGAATTGTGCAAGACTGTTGAATCACAGATCTGTACCTCTGAAACAAATAATGCAATATATGTTAAGAAAAAAAAAGAAGAAGATAGCAGGAGGGGAAGAATGAAGGGGAGTAGATCGGAGGGGGAGACCAACCATGAGAGACTATGGACTCTGAAAAACAAACTGAGGGTTCTAGAGGGGAGGGGGGTGGGGGATGGGTTAGCCTGGTGATGGGTGTTGAGGGGGGCACGTTCTGCATGGAGCACTGGGTGTTATGCACAAACAATGAATCATGGAACACTACATCCAAAACTAATGATGTAATGTATGGTGATTAACATAACAATAAAAAATTAAAAAAAAAAAAAAGAGTCTGCCTTCAGGTCAGATCATGATCCGGGAGTCCCGGGATCTCTGCTCAGGGAGGGAGTCTGCTTCTCCCTCTCCCTCTGCCCCTCCCCCACTTGTGCTCGTGCTCTCTCTCTCTCTCTCAAATAAATAAATAAAGTCTTTATTAAAAAAATGGGCAGAAGCTGCACCCATTTCCCTTCATGTATTTGGTGAAGGCAAGTGAGAGGCCCAGGTTTCCAGTTCTGGGATGAAAGAGGCAGCATGCAGAATATGTGATATTGTAACAAGCTCCACTTGTGGTGGGGACAGCATAAGATACAGAGAAGCTGAATCACGGTGTTAATACTCCTGAGACTAATGTAACATGTGTGTCAATGACACTTCAATAAAAAGAAAAAGAAAAACTGAAAAGCAGCTCTGAAGAGACATTTTTCCAAAGAGGACATCCGGGTACTTCTCCGCATCACTGATCATCAGGAAAATGCAAATCAAAACCACCAGGAGGTATCACCTCACACCTGTGGAACGGCTATCAGACAGACAAGGGGTGACACACTGGCGACGATGAGGAGAATGGGGAACCCTCACGCTCTGTTGGTGGGAATGCCAATCGATACAGCCTCTCTGAAAAATAGTACAGAGATTCCTCAAAAAAATTAAAAACAGAACTACCCTTTGATCCAGGAATTCTGTGACTGGGTATCTACCCAAAGGAAAACACTATGTCACAGAGGTATCTGCACCCCCATGTTCCCAGCGGCATTATTTACAACGTCCAAGACACGGAAACAACCTAAATGTTCACCGTATGTATAGACAATGGAATATTCTTCGGCCATAGGAAAACGAGGAAATCCTACCATTTGCAACAACACAGACGGCCCCGAGGCATTATGTTAAGTGAAATAAGTCAGACAGACAAAGACAAACACTGTACCATCTAATTCTATGTGGACTCAAAAGGAAAAAAAAAAAAAAAACAAAGAAAAACAAAAACCCTCATACTAAAGGAGATGAGATGTGCGGTCACTAGAGGCCGTGCATGGGGGGGGGGGGTAAGGGAACTGGATAAAGGAGGTCGAGAGGGACAAATGTCCAGTTATGATCGTACAGGGGACAGAAGGCACAGCGTGAGGACTCCAGCTAACATTGCTGTGCGGTATATTTGGACGTTTTAAGACAATACTGAGAGCGCTCATCACAAGGAAGAAACATTTTTTCTTTTGATTCCTTTTTGTATCTCCGTGCGAGGACAGGTGTTCACCAAACTCACACACTGTCGTAGCTTCATTCTATCTCAATAAAATTGAAAGGAAAAAAAGGGAAATCCTGGGACATGCTGCAGACAGATGAACCTCGAGGACACGATGCTGAGGGAAAGTAAGCCGGTCACAAAAGCACACATACTGCACGCCTCCAGGTAGGTGAGGAATCGGAAGCGATCAAACCCAGAGAAGCGGGTGGTGCAATGGTGGCTCCCAGGGGAGGGGAACTGGGTGACCGCTGCTCAGTGGGTACAAAGCTTCAGTTATGCAAGACATGAAAGTTCTAGGGATGGGCTGACACTGTGCTTACAGTTCACAAGTTTCCATGCACTTACAACTCTGTAAAGAGGATTAAAAAAATAAGAGAAATATAAAAGTGTCACTTAGGACAGACCTACAGTGCAGGCCGGGCCCGGGACACGTTGAGGAGAGCTTTACCCAGCTCAGCCCACTACGTGTGCGTGCAGAACTGGGACGGGACATAGAAACAAAGGGCGGGCCGGTCACGGCCCACAAGGGCCCCTCCCTCCGCAGAGAGACCAGAAACAAGGCTCACACTGCCCTGACTCAAAGGCCAGGAAGAAAGGCACTACCTGGGGACATAACAGCAGGGGTTCCTCTCCTAAGGGCATCTATATAATAAGCAGAGGTAATAACCTCCTTCCAGAGCATTCACTCCGTCAATGAGCACTTACTGAGAACTCGCCAGGGACAGGTATTAGCGCTGGGCTACACAAGTGAACAACTTCCCACTGCGGAGCCCACCATTTGGGGGAAAACCACAGAACAGGGGCTACAGCTGCACCCTGCACCCACCCCCAGCTGCGTGCAGAAGCACCGTGCGGTGCAGACACCCAGCGGAATAGTATGCAGCCAGGAAAAGTCATGAAGTCCCAACCCACAAGCTGAACAACAGGGAGGAGCCTCCAGGACACGATGCAAAGTTCAAGAAGCCAAACGCAAGCAGCCTCACATTCTGCGATTCCGTGTGTCTCCATAAACGAGGCCGCAGAAACAAAGCAGACCAGCGGTCGCCCGCGCCCAGGGACTGGGAGAACAGAGTGGCAGTCAGTGGGCAGAGGGTTCCCTCACGGGGTGATGACAATGCTCTGGAATTAAGACCATGACAACAGCTGTGCAGCCTTGTGACTATGCCAAAAATCACTGAAGGGCACACTTCCAAGGGATGAATCTTACAGTATGTGTATCGTCACTCAATTTGTTTTCAAGTATCAATAAGTGGGGGCGAGGGGCACAGCTGCAAACGTGATGAACTCCAAGGGCACCAGCGGCTTTGTGAGCAAAGACGGGGTCTGACCTTGGTTGCCTGTGAGCTCACAGCTGGAGGAGGCAGGGGGGCCGGAGGAGGGCCTGTGCATGGGGGAGCACAGGTGCAATGACCCAAAGCAGGACTGAAGGGCCCGTCTCTCTTTCTTCTGGGGCACTCAGGGGCCACGATGTCAGCAGAGGCCCAGGCCAACGTATTCTGTCCTTATAAACGTCACAGAAATACAACTCAAGCTCCATGATCATGGGTCTATAGGGCCAAGACCGCCTCTCAGCCGGCTCTCAATTATGCACGACATGGGGTAGTAGAAAGGCACAGACCATTCCCACCAATCAGAAGAATATATAAGAACTTCAGAAAGAAGACAAAATCCAGAAGTTCCGGGTGAAAGCAACTGCCAATATGGTGGACAAAAAGGACCTCGGAATTCAGCTCTGAAACGTTACCTGTCAGGTGGAAAGAAAGATATCAAGTCAAAATTAAAATAGGCAGACAGGTACTATGAAGACATGACACAGGCCTGAGCATCAGCATCCGAAGTCTTCAAGCATCACCGCGGACGTCACCGCAGAATCGAACACTGAAAACAGGGTGTGAAGATTCAAATATTTGCAAATGCGGCTTTTCTCACTTACGGGATCAGACGAGCTCCTTCTGGGTTTCTCCAAGTCCGTGCCACTGCAGTTCGAGCCCCATGACTCCCTGGTTCGGGGACTGTCTTGTGCGGCACCCCGGCCTTCCCACCAGAGGCCAGCAGCAGCACCCTCTCTGTTGTAACCCAAAATGCTCCCAGACATGGCTGAGTGTCCCCTGGGGGGGGGTACGGTCACTGTAGGGAACCACTGTTTTCCAGCAACTAAATGGATCTTATCTCTACAAGCTCTGACGATTCCCCCGAGAGTAATGTCATTTCTCCACGTCTGTTCAGTTTTCTATACGCTTCCCACCCTGACAGTCTCCCCACAAGAAGACAGATAAAAACTTATCAGAGAAGCCTGTTTCAGGTGCTCTACGTGACTATTCAAAATGCCAGTCTCGGGGCACCTGGGTGGCTCAGCTGGTTAAGCGGCCAACTCTTGGGTTTCGACTCAGGTCACGATCTTGCAGTCATGAGATCGGGCCCGGTGTCAAACTCTGCACTCGGTACAGAGTCTGCCTCAGATTCTCTCTCCCTCTCCCTCCAGCTCATTTTCTCTCTCTCTCTAATAAATAAATAAACTCTTAAAAATAAAAAATGCCCAGTCTCTAAAGCAGAAGAAAAGCAACATCATCCATCTCCAAAGGGAACACAAGACTTCAATCATGGGCATCCATCCCTCAGCCCTGCTCTCCTACCCTCCCCACACCCATCTGAGGACTAGACTCCAAAGCCTTAGTCTCCAGAAGGCCCCGGTGGGCTCAGTGGACAAGTAAAAATGCACCCAGGTCCCCCCACTCTGGAGCCCTCCCGACACTAGAACTCAAGAAACAACCTGCAAAGCACCAGACCTCCCAATAAATCAGTTTTCAAGTCTCTACGAGCATCCTGAACGCTGACCGAGTGTGAATCGAAAGGCTTCGGGATGTGGGCACCTGGCCGTCGGGATGCGGGGAGCTTACCGTCCGGGGGCATCAAGGCCTTGTTGTTCTGCGTGCACCAACCCACAGGGTGCAGGTCCGCGATCACCACGTCACACCAGAAGTCAGCCCGGCGGTCCTCACCGTAACCACAGTAACGTAGCAACAGCAGCTGCCCACAGGTGGTGATGACCGTGGCCACCCAGTACGTATCTGGGTTGTTCTTGTTGGCCACCTCCAACTTCATCCCCGGCTGGAAATTGCTCTGAAGGCTGATTTCAACCTTCAAGAAAGAGAAACACGGGGACAATGTCATTATATCGGACACACCCAGAAGAGGACGAGAACTACTAAACACACAGCACTTAAAAATAATATTCCTCTCACCCTAGAACAGCACTAAGAGAAATACCACGCGAGCCACCCACCAGATGTTGTGTTTACTAGTAGCCACGTGAAAAATTAGAAAGATACAACAGATGAAATTCATTTTAGTCATGTATTTTATCTAACCCAATATATCCCAAATATTGTTATTTCAAGATGTAATCAACATGAAAGACACGGAGTTGGTTTACATTGTTCTTTTCCAAGGAAGCCTGCAAAATCCAGCCAGCTTTCGACATTCACACCACGTGTCCATTCGGACGGCACACTTCTGAAGTGCTCAGTAGCTCCATGTGGCTAGAGGCCACTGCGCAAATAGCATAGCCTTCGAGCATGCATTTCTTTTTATTTTAAATTAAGGGTTATAGTCTATTAATATTTGCAGCCTGGTGAGCCACAACATTCGAAAGCTCACACATCTGACATCCTCGAGGAGCACCTGCTTAAGAGATGTTGGGATTATATGTGGCTCATCCAGGGGTCCATGCTACCCTTCCTCTAAACCTGGCACATGCGCCTGGAGAAACTGTGCGTCCAGAAAGAAACCACATTGTGGTTGAAAGGGAAGTGGGAGATATGACTGGATCTAAGAGAACAGGGTGGCTCCACATGGAGAAATACTGATAACTTCCTGGTACAGAAAGGAAGGAAAAATCTGTGGATCAGTATCTCTTTCCTAAACCCCCTCAAGGGATCTAGCCAAGTCATCCCAGCATCTTAAGAGGCAAAAGAGCCAAAGGCACGAATAGGCTAGAAAACTGCCCCAGTTTGTTTACCAGACTTGGGCTAAATCTTTGCTTTGGATAGCTCAGTGGAAAAAAAAAAAAACTGTTTCTCAGAATTAAACTTTCATTTCCAGTAAAGCTGTAGTAATGCCTCAGAACTTGGGTCCTGAAAATTTAGTCTTTCCCTTGCTAATGATATATTACCAAAATCTCATACATAAGCAAAAGTCTGATAAATCCTCCATCTTTTATTTCCCGGGACTTGCCCTTCGCGGGGCACGCTATGTGCATTGTTCAAAGAAATATTACTGATGAAAATGATTTTCTGATTTGATCCAAATGGGTTCTGAGTATTTACAGTTATTTCTTCTAATTTCACTCATCTGCCCACAGATGGTTGTTAAGACTCTTAGGTGTCCTTCTGAAATACAAATATCCATTCGAAATAAAAAATACACAACCATTACCCCTCCTAGATGATATTACTCATCACGTGTATTGACCTCGTTTGCTGGCTCTTTATCCCCATCAACCCTACCTGTCTCAGGCTGTGTGCCCTTTGCAGGGCCATGTCTGTCTACTTTGGCTCCGTAGGGTGCAGAGTAAGGGTAAGGTGCACACTGTTCTTCACACACTGAGACCCACCCTGGGCCCAGCCCCCGTTACCGGAAGACCTCAAGTATGAGGACAAGGCCCATCTTTCCTGCAGTTGTCTGTGGAAAGCAAATGGACATCGCCCTCACCTCTGGATTTCTAAGAAATCCTGCCTCAATTTCCCTTTTTTTCCCAAAGGTTCGGCATCTTCCTGCAGACGCCCCTGCCCCCCTCCAAATGCAGACCAGAAAGACGAGGGGTGTTACGTACATGCTTGAAGGACGTGTGAGGAGCTGCGCTGGTACCTGTTTCTTCCAGATACTCTCCCCAGTTAAAGCCAATTTCCTCCAGGCTCGAGCCTTCTTCTGTCAAAAGACAAAGAAAAACAGAGTGAAGAATGGAAAGGCACGGGCCTTCCATAAAGAGCAGGAAATCCTTAATGCAAGAGACAATGGAATTCAACCGTGCAGGGGGATCCTGTTGAGGATGCTGCTGAGGGGCGCCCGGGTGGCTCAGTCGGTTATGCATCTGCCTTCGGCTCAGGTCATGATCTCAGGGTCCTGGGATCGAGCCCCATGTAGGGTTCCCTGCCCAGTGGGGAGCCGCCTTTTCCCTCTCCCTCTGCTGCTCCCCTTCCTTGTGCTCTCTCGCTCTCTCTCAAATAAATAAATAAAAACCTTGAAGAAAAGAAAAAAGGATGCTGCTGATCCTGTCGGCTTTGGCGTGCTGACTGTGGGGTGTTGACTAAGGAAAGGGAACACTGAAGAAATCCTGCCTGAACTACGCTGGCAAAATCAAGGGTAAAATTAGGCGCTCTCAGGCAAATGAAATGAGATTTGTTTCGGGGCATATTTGCCGCTTGCTAGAGTACTTGTTTGGAATCAGCCGCCCTCACTGTGGCCACTCCCTTCTCCGAGGAGGTTGGAGGACAGGGTAAAGGAAACCATCGGGCACTGAGGAGGTACCTTGACGTGTAGACAGCAAGAGCACCTCTGACCACGCATTTACTTCCGACGGCTAGAGATTATAAAGTAACAGCACAGACTGTTAGTGTCATAAGGAACTTTAGGAAGCATTGACTCTGATGTTATCCCAAGGAAAAAAACGATTGGAGGTCCAGAAGGATTGCTCAAGTATGTGAGGTCACCTAGCAACTTAGTGACAGAAACCAACCAGCTGCCAATCAAGCAATTCTCAAAACATTTAAGATTGTGCATAAGATATAATCTATATAGTCAAAAAGAACCAAATAGCTCATTTTAAAGCCCGGATAACAGTATTACATCACAGTTTCCAAGCACTCAAAAGCTGTAAACATTATTTTAGCATATCTGCAAGGCTATCATATCATAAAGAAAGGACACAGAGCAGTAGGGGTTATCCACACACGTGGATAAGTAAGATCTTCAAAGTTTAGCTTCTCTTTCCTTGCAGTAATGCTCAATGGATGTTCAACCTGTGTATCTTCTATAAGCAAGAGCCTATTTCACAGGCCAAAAATAAATACTGCTCTCGGTCATGTTATTAATGGAGAAGTGGTACATCCTGGCAGGTGATCCAGGGGAACCAGCAACAGGAGGCTCTAGGAAAGAAAGCTTTGTTCTTGCAGGCTATCACAACCATTTTCTAGAAAAGGTTTCTTCAATTGTAAGTAGGAAAAGTAATTTTCCTGCGATACTCTGTATAGTCTCAGAAATGGGCAGAAGATCATTTTTGTAAAACCAGAAAATGCTAGATTAAAAGCAGTTACCTTAAATTTTGTCTTCTAAATCAAAGTTGCTTGGAACTAGCCTCCTCAACTTTGACCCCTGTAAGCTGGTTTGTAATTAAATGTGCAAGAAAAAGAAAAGCTCCCTGAAGAGAAAATCTTTCCCTTGTTTTTCTCCCAACATTCCACTTTATCCAGGGATTTAGGTCCTTCCACTGGAAACAGGCTCCCTGAAAAAAAATCAGCAGATTCCCACAGTGGCCAGCTAACAAGATATACTGCTGAGACACAGTGAGACAAACCCGCAGGGAAGCAGTCACATTCTGGAAAACCCCTCCGGGTGTCGCCTGACAACTCGACCCACGACTCTTTTCCCCAAAAGGCTGCAGGCATCGATTACCAGGTTTGCTTTCTGATGCACTAGCCAGAAGCATGCCTGCGCACATCTCACTTGCTCGGGGCGCCTGGCGCCGAGGAAGTCTGTAATTTCTCTACACCCTACCTGTCTGGCTCCCGCAGAGCCCACGCCACCTTGCAGGCCTGCCCGCCCCAGCCGGGGTCACACACTTCCGGCCCCACAGAGCCACCACCGGGTCGTGAAAAGAGCTCCACGAGCTCTCTGCTAACTGCTTTACGTGCATCACCCTGTTTCCTCCTTCCAAGAACTCTGATAGATGGTGACTACCAGCCCCATTGCACAGAAGAGATGACGGAAGCCCAGAGAGGCTGGGGTGGGGCGGGCAGTCATGAGGACCACGCAACTGCCCAGCCACAGAAGCAGGAATCCAACTCGGGCTGTCGGGTTTCAAGCTGGAACTCTCCCGAGACACTTTTCCATGTCTCCCTTCTGCCTGCACCACGCGTAGGGCATATGCACTCCACCACCACCACCCGAGGCAGGCTCCAGGGCCAGCTTGTCTGTCTTCTGTGCTGGTGAGCATGAGAGCATACCAGAGCCAAGCCCGGCAGTGGGAAGACGCAGGAGATGGGGGAAGGCGGGAGGCAGTAGCCAAGCTCAGAGAGAACAGTGTGCAGAGAGCCCCTGGAGCCTTTGGCAGGAGGACACAACCAGGGGGACGACGTGGCCATGAAACTCAGTCCTGGGCCTTCGGAGGCAGAAGGTCCTGGGAGAGCCCCTGGGTGAATTACCAGCTCCTGGAAAACGGAAGGACTCTCTCAGGGAGTGCTGGCTTCCCTGGCATCAGAAACATCTGCGTGGAGACAGAACGAGGAGGAAGTCCTGCAGCAGCTAGTGCCTGGGGCTAGAAAGCTTCAGTGAGCTTCCGCACCACACCTGGAAGGACCGGTGATGCCATCACTTGGCATCGTCCGGGAGGGTGAGAGCCTGGCTTAAATTTCTCAGCTTCAGCTTCGAGACCGCTCACTAAGGTTCTTCACTCTTCATACAAGTCCAATCGAGGCTACTAGTCTTCTACCCAAAACTTGGTTCCCACTGAATTTTAATTCATTACAAACCATGTTTCTCTTCCTGCAATAAACAGGCTGTAGATGGCTTTCAGGCGTCACTCGGGTGTTCGTTTAAGTCACCAAGAGACGGAAAGGTCTCCCAGTGACTCCCCAGCGAGTCCCTAACGGCACTGCTACAGAGTGCTGTTCACGCTCTACGGTCCACAGAAAACACTTAAAAGTCAAACCTGGAATGGGATTTTAAAAATTAAAGCTCGTGTGCCCAGCACCAGTAGTTTTAAACAATAAAATCATACACAAAATTTAGGGTCCCCTACAATTAGGCCTCTCCCGACCTGTAACTCATAGTACTTCCTCCAGGCACACACATTCCCCGAACAGCTCGTTCTCTAAAGACGTTTCAATGAGCAATAGATAAACACGCACACTGTTTATGAGTGGAGGCCTCATAAACCCAGAGCAAATATTTACAGCTGATTCATAAACCTCTTAAACCCATAAACATTTTATCAGGGAAACTCTGACAATCTCCCGCCTCTGCCAAGTCACCGGTCGGAAGCATTTTTCCCCATGACGTCATGAAAACCGACCATGAAACGCGACCAAGAAAACAGCCACTTGGTTGTGGAAAAGAGAAGTCTATTTATGTGCCCAGCACATTTCCTGATAGAAAAAGAACACTAAAAGTGGAGATGTGTACGCTTACGCACCTTATACATGATAGTGTAAAGCAGAATAAACACACGGCTCACACACCTTTTTTTTTTTTTTTAAGTAATCAAATCTTGGGTTTTGGTTTTATAGTCTGAAATTGGGCTAACTTTGCAAGGCTGAATGCTAACGTCCGTGACCACTCGCCAAGAAAAGAACAGAGAGTCTGCAGATTTGGAGCCGATGAAATCTCATACAACACCTTCTCATGTGCTAGATATTCCTCACACACTCGGGAACAGAAAGGAAGGCATTAAATCTTCGAGATTTTCACTGCTGATAGTCCACTCATACTATCACAAGATTTAAAAAGTACTTCCATTGAGTGCACTAAACAGACCCACAGCACGAACGACACTCGGAAAGGGCTGGCCAAGGCCATGCCAAGGGCCAAGTTCACGGCTGCAGCACGTCCCCCAAGGAAGGGGGGACAGTCACCTGCACTCGGAGGACCCAGAGAGCCAGAGAGGTTTTCTGGAAAAAAGAAAACACATAAAAATCACCCAATCACCCAGCCGGGGGTGCGGGGGCGGGGGGGCAAATTACTATTCTAAAGAGAAGTGTTTTTGGTCTTTTGTTTGGTTTTGTTTTTAACAGAGAATGCTAAATAAAGTTCCTGGCACCAAGAATAAGCAATCTGAATTTTTCTAACAAGAATATTGACTCCTTTCCTTCCAGAATAAAAATGCCTGGGCGCCTGGGTGGCTCAGTTGGTTAAGCGACTGCCTTCAGCTCAGGTCATGATCCTGGAGTCCCGGGATCGAGTCCCGCATCGGGCTCCCTGCTCAGCAGGGAGTCTGCTTCTCCCTCTGACCCTCTTCCCTCTCGTGCTCTCTGTTTCTCATTCTCTCTCTCTCAAATAAATAAATAAAATCTTTAAGGGCGCCTGGGTGGCTCAGTTGGTTAAGCGACTGCCTTCGGCTCAGGTCATGATCCTGGAGTCCCGGGATCGAGTCCCGCATCGGGCTCCCTGCTCGGCAGGGGGTCTGCTTCTCCCTCTGACCCTCTTCCCTCTCGTGCTCTCTATCTCCCATTCTCTCTCTCTCAAATAAATAAATAAAATGTTTAAAATCTTAAAAAAAAAAAAATGCCTGTGGGACTCCAGTTAATGTATTCCTAACACCAAAAAACAAAAAAAAATTTAAGCCCACATTGCCAGCATAATTCTCTTTACCCAGAGGCCCCAACCGGGCTAAATGTGCAACACCACTTTATCTACAGACTTCATCGGCAAATTACATTTAGCCAGCCTGGAAAAATAATGTCAAGGACTCTATTTATCACCATATCAGCATATTGTTTTGCTTGCTTTTATCATGGCAACTGGAGAAGCCTAGAGTTCCAGAAAGCCAATTTGGGTCCACGGCTTTCTCTGCGTGCCCGGTGACAACACTGTCCATCCTGTCCGCTGGGGAGGCCTTCTGTTCATCTGTCTGTGCTCATCCGGGCAACGTCCTCCGCGCTCCTGGGAGGAAGAGTCGTTCATGTGGTGCCTATTTCCTTTACAGGACTAAGGTGCCCGTCAAACTAGGATTTGAGCTTTCCTTAGGAATAGAGGCAAAACGGAGAATAAAAAAGCTGTTCATGGGAGTCGGAGCTCACTGCTGTATGGTGAAGTTTCCGCGTCAGAGGGATGGATCGTCCGCGCAAGGAAGCACAGTGGCTCGGGGTAGGGCAATGGGGACCCAAGTCAAAGCAGCGGGGGGCGGGCAACCACGGAAGGCGCTGGCCCTGTCACCTGGGCCGAGAAGAGCTAGAGGCACCTACATGTAGTCACCTGCTGGCGAGCGACGGGCCTGCGTCCCAGCACATGTGGGGAGGGGCAAGCAGACGAGTGGAGGAAAGGACAAGAAAAAGCAGCTGGGTTGTGCCTGCGTCCCAGAAAGCACGTGTGTGCGCGTGGAGGGGGCGTGCTCGTGTGCACGTGGGTGACCTCCCCCTGCACGGAAGGGCAGGTACGACCCAGTGTGCAGAGCACCTGCTTCCAAGCCTCCGGACGCCTGGAATGAAATCCTGGCTCCAACACAAGAGCCAAGTGACTTTGCCATGTCATCCGGTTTCCTCCTCTTTACCATGTGGATAACAAAAGCAGCACTTTCATTGGGTCATGGAAGGATAAACTGAGTCAACACACATAAAAGTCCTTAGAGAGCGCCTGCCATACCGTTCGAACTCAGGATCATGTACCTACCTGTCCTCTTGTCAACGGAGAACCAGCTGAGCCTGCCTTCCCCCTGCTCTTCTGGGAAGCGAATCTCAACCGAAACGCTCGCGGCCAAACGGCCCGTGGCGGCCCCAAGCATGTCACAGTGGGCCCCACAACCAGACACCCCCCCCACTGACACCAGAACGGGAACTGTTTTCTGTATTACCAGCTTGAAGGGGAAAATAAGCTTCTTGACGACTCATACTTGAGTCCACTGTAACAGACTCAGTGTTCGAGAAACACTGAGTTTCTCCAAGTCAGCCTCTGCTCTCTACAGAGGTTTAAGATCCTGCCTTAAATTTATTTCTCCTTTAGGAGTCGCTCTTTGTGGCACCACCTACAAGTCTCCTCCACGAAGAGGTGCTTATGGAAATTCCAAGGGGAAAGGACAGATCAGCCATGTAAGGGGGAAAAAAGCTCTGGGGCCCATGTCTGTACATGTTAAGATCATCTGGAGCTCTTCAGAACTACCATTTCTGGTAAAGATCTTCAGGTCTTGTATGATTCTGGCCGCCCACTGTGCACAAGCAAGGAAGCCTCCATGAAGTGTGTGCACACAACTAGACGTCAGCAAGAAGCCCAGCCTGGCCGGTGACAGAACAAATCCCCTACTTCCCTATTCATGGAATCACCCGCGAGGAAGTGCAGCACAAATAATTCTCCCAACACCATATTATTACCAATGGGCCTCAAAATCTACTTAAGCTAGACAGATACGTTGCAGCTGCAAGAAAATGAAAAGTCAACACACGTTTCGTTTTTAAAACAGTTTTGAAAACACACCTTTGAAAATGAGGCAGTCACAGACTCGGGATGTGCATTCAGCAAAGGCCAGTGAAAGCCCAGGGAACCAAAATTGGAAACGTAATTTCATGCAGCAAACGTAGACAGACTTTTTTTTAAAAAAGCATATTTGTACTTAAATGAGAGTAGAATTAGGGTGAACCTTCCGCCCATGGGATGAGTTTCCTCAGAAGAGAATTTCCATACTTCCACTGGGGGACAATGGCTCAGCTCTGCTTCCAGAAGTTTCCTCACTGCAGCTTAGGTACAGAAAAATCCCAAGGGGGCAGGGCCGGTGGGGAAACTGGGCTGATTCTGAAGCAGACACTAACATTTTTCCACATATTTAGGCAATAACTTCAGGGGTTTCCAGATTTTTTTCAGATAAAGATATAAATTTGAGTTAATGCAGTAAATCCAATGATATCAAGCCATCTGTAATTCTGCCATTGACGGCACTCATCAGAATATGAAGACAAACAATCGTGACTTCTCTGGATAAGGGTCAAATCTCTCACTGAATTAAGGATCAACATTTTTTACATAAATTCACCAGAGCAAACGTTCATGATCCAGACAGCTAAGCTGTCCTGATTTAATTTGCTGTTATGCAAATAGAGCAATCCTTTAAAAGAAGAAAAAGAAAAAAGAAGTGTCTTTTTAAAATGGACTCTTGTGTAAGCATTTAGAAAAAGAGGCACATAAAAATTCATCGATGAAATATTAAAATTCAATCAAAGACTGGTTAGGTGTTAGGTTCCTCGAAGGGAGAAAAACTTTACCACGGATTCACATGACCTAAATTTCTTTCCCATTAGGCACTTCTCTGAAAGCCGTGCTCAAGGTTTCGGAGAGGAGAGGGGGTGCCGGCATCGGTGCCTGGGCAAATTCCGCTGTCCTGTTCCTCTGGGCACTAGGGAGACAACCTGACGTTCCCACCTCCCCTGTAGTGGTGCCAACATGAGACAGGTCCTGGTCCAGAGGTTCTGAGCAAAAGTAACAGCTGTGTGTTCGGAGCCAGAGCATGTCACACTGTTGATTCACGACCCTCGAGCTCTGCTTACCCCGTAACAAAAAGACGGTATGGCATGAATCCGCAAAAAGTACAGCAGCTCTTTCTACAGCTAACGCGAATGATATATAAACATTTACTATGTTAACCACTGAGATTCTGAAGTGATCTGTCACCACCTCACTGCAACCTACCCCTCTCCGTCTAGTATAGGAAATACTACATTTTGAGCCAAACTTTGCGTAACTTTCAAGCCACTCTATGCTTATAAATATGACAGCAAATCCTAGGAACAGGCAGTGTGAGAGATCTCGAGGTGTCTGCCCCATTGTTTCCTGAACATTTTCGGGAAGATACTGGTCACTAAATCAAAACGTCAGAGAGAGATCCAGAAAACAAAGTCCCACCTGAATCGAGACCTCCATTACCACTCGCTAAGTTTTGCTGTTTTTCCAAGGGTGAAGAGGAAGGGTCCTGCATGCTGGAAGCTGACAAGCTGCTCTCCATGCCTAGTGAGTAAGGATCCTCTTCTCTTAATGCATCCTGCAGCAAGAATTACCTAAGAACAACCAACAAAGAAAAAAAAAATCAGAGCACCTTGATTATATTCCTTTGTTTTTAAAGTCCCCCCCCCAAAATAACAGCATCCTATCAGAGCTACTACCAGGTCACTATAACACGTAGGATGCCACGTCATGTTAATAACAGAAAATACCCACACACGGGTGAGACATCTTGCATGTCCCGAGCAATGCGCGACCAGACCCAGTTGAAGTACCGACGTTTGCCAATGTGCTTTCTGACCAATTAGATTTTTCCTATAATAGCATGGCTATTCCTCACTTGCATTCTGCTACGACAGGTGGCAAACCAGGTAAAATGACAGGCGCTTCTCACAGAACCTACAATTTAGTTCATTTACCATGAAATAGCCAGGCACGCGCCACCCCTAAGGGTCGCCGCTGACCTCTCTGGTGGTTAGACACAGCCATGCGGGGCTTTTAAATCTTTCACTCATTCAACATCTACTTTTATTGCACGCGTAGATGAAAGATTAAATCAGCAAAAGGGCAAGGATGGATGAAGAAGAGCATAGTGCCTCTACACCTATAAATAGAATATTTTGTCACTCACATACAGTAAAATACCTTTTAAGAATACCACCCCCTTTTAAACCGCCAACCACATGCACACGCGCGTGCGCACGCACGCACACACACACTCTCACATGCACACACCTCTTTTGGTGCTATTCAGTTTGCTTTCCTGGAAAATTATTCGGAGGAGTGGTCAAAATTAAAGGTTCATAAGAGGGTGTTAGTCATCTGTGCAATGGCAGGAAGAAGACAGAAAACTCTACCAGGAGGAGATGGGCAAGGTACCAGGTACACAGCATGGGAACTTAACCCAGCACGTATTTATTAGCCACCTGTTTATATAAAATACTATGGCAGACGCTGCGGGGGCAGGGATACAAAGCCATTTCTCAATCAAAATACAAAGAAAGGAAATACCTATTTTAGAATAGGAACCATGGAAATGTCTAGACTGCTTCTTCCAGCAGCAACCTATGCATCTTGCTGGTACGAAGGTAAGTACACGAATAAGCAAATGAAATGACAAATTATCAGGCAAACGTAACCAACCAGGAGATTATCTTTTACTCATCCCACAGTCTCTGAGCACAGGTGCTTTTCCTATTTTCTGAAGCAAAGTGAGGCTGTGTGGTCTGAGGAGAAGTCAGGACCAGAGATACAATGTAAGGCAGGGCTGTCCCAAAAAATAGGAAAGCACTGATTAAAAGGCTGAAATGGCTTCTTGGGTTTGTTTAAAAGCCACATTAAGGATCGGTAAATACCACATGCTCACCGGAGCGCTGCGTGGGGCCGAGAAAGCAAGGCGAGAGGGTCCTAACCCCGCCCTCCAGCAGCATCTAAGACCAAAGGTGCAAGGAAACTGGGAGCGCACACGAACAACTTAAACCTAAATAGAAACTCGGTGTTTCTAAAATATTTTTTTAAATGAAAGACTGAAGGAACCCGTGGAACAGATAGACGGGTTCCAAGATGCTTTAAAACAGAGGGCATTGGCAAACCCAGCACTTTGCACATTGAGGCTGACTAATTTTACCCGAGCGACATCAGTTTGCTAAAATAACGCACATGATGACAGGCAGAACTGTATTCTCCTAATAAGAACACTCCTTTCCGAGTCCTATTATGACACAGACACTGGAATTTGTGGGGAGCCATGGTTCTGGAGATCTCCTCCCCACGGGGCTGCACGCAGCTGACCAGACAGGAGAGGGACAGGCCGCCAGGGCTCCCTGCAAGTTCTCATGCCCTAGGCGTGGATGTACTCACCAGTGTGTCTCCAGCGCCACCAGCATCCAGGAGCAATGGCTGATGCCATCTGCAGAGAACTCACTTGTTGATAAGCGAGTGTGGCCAGCCCACAAAGTAAATATTATTGGAAAAGTGCAGAGACCCAACAGCCCACAAGCACCCAGTGCGAGAACACGCACAGGGAGCACACAGCGGACAACACACACCTGCCCGCAATGACAGAAGCGTGTGTGTGAGTTTGTGGATCACCCGATCACCTAGAAGGGGACACCACGCCCACCAACAACAGGGGCAGCCAGAGGAAGACGCAGCACCCTCTGCAAAACACTGCCTCCCTCACGGATGTCCACTGGAGTCTGTCGGGGACATTTCTAAGGATGGGGGGGCGCGGTGCAGAAGGACAAGCAGCTGAATGACACAGGACGGGGGGACACATGGAGCCAACAGAGTATCACAGACGGCCTGGAACAGAGGGCATCCCCACTGGGGGCACGCACTGACCCCTTACAAGGTCAGCAACAGGGAACACTAGAAACACAGAGAGAAGCAGAGACCACCACGAGGTTGCGGGGGCAGGATCGGAGAATGTGCTAGCAGAACAGACTCAAGGCTGAACCCCAAGGAGAGGAGAATGGTTTGCCAAAGCGAGGACCCCAACTCTGCGGGCAGGAGTAGACACCGCAGGATTCAATGCAGGGAGTGCAATGATCTGATTGATCTGTTCCAGAAAAGTCACTCCGGCCAGACAGACGGACAGACGGGGACACGACTGAAACAGGACCGTGTAGACGAAGGTCTGGGTACAAAACAAGCAAACAAGTGCACAGCGTATTTCAAAAGTACAATCCACAGGACATGGTCCAAACAACCCAGGAGTCCCCCCAACATTAACAAGGCGCGATCTCTTCACAGCTTGGAGGCAGCTTCCTAGAATAAACCCCTTTCCACAGCTCGCTCTCAGCAGCGCATGGAACCTAGGCAGTGCCTCTGGAAATAAACATTACCGGAGAAATCAGGTTAAACAGGGGAATGACAAACCCGTCCACAGAAATTTACTTCCGATGGACTTTGAGGGGGTAGCAAATACTGGTGAAAACTGACGCAGAAGCTCTGCAAAATGAAAACAGGATTTTGAAAAGTAAATCCTTTTCCTGCCTCCAACACCCTCACCCCCAAAAAAGGGCTATTTTTAAAAGGAAGCATATTTCATTTTGCGTCTTAAAATATATATTAGTTTCAAGACCAAAGGTAAAACTTTCTATTAATGAAAGTACCTTTTTTTTAAAGACATGAAAAGAAAGCTCACAAAGCTGGGTTTTTAAAGGGTAACTTCCTGTTTTTTACAATACACTTGTGATCCTATGTAAAGTTAATCCCACTCTAATTGGCTCCTCTCCCCTCTAAAGTTGTTGAACAACACAATTATAGTAAGTAACTTGGAGAGTAACAAGGCCACGATCTAGCTGTGTGACCTAGGCAAATTACTTGACCTCTCTGTTCCTTCAAACTTCTCATGAAAGCTTGATTAGATGTAATCATTGGGCCCTTTTCAAATCTAAAGTTCTATGAATCTACCAGAGCTTTTTTCAGTGTTAACGGTTTATTTTTCTGCATTCAGATTACCTGTTTAACTAAAAGAAATTTTTCTTTTTTTATCTGAAAGTAATTTAACAGAACAAGCATCCCCCCTGTTAATTCTTTTCTGCCTCCTCCTATCATTTGGAGACTATTCAGAGACAGTTAAGTAATTTTAGTATAAGCCAAGCAGTCTTGTTAGGAAGAAAATGTGTGGGGAGGAAAACTCACTAGATAGTATTCTAGAGCTAACCAGAAATTATTAGGGGGTTTTACCTATTTTGAATTATCTTTAGAGCAGCAAGGTCCAGTAGAACTTTCTAGACCTGCAGGGTCCAGTACAGTAACCACCAGCCACATGTAGCTACTGGGCCTTTGAAATGCAGCTGTGTGAAAGAGGATTTCAATTTACATTTTCATTAATTTTAATTTAAAAGTCGTATCGGCTGCCGTATTAGGGAGCATAGTTAGCCCACTGCAAAGGTAAGCCAGACTTTACTATATTTGAATTTGGAGCATGTCCTAAAAATAACCATCAATTCTTGGCTCTCTTGAAAGTTTTAATTTAACAATAGCAGGCTAATTAAAAGAGAACACAGGAATTTTAAAACCTAAGAAACTTCAAAAAGAGACTTAACAGCTTCCCCGTGATATTCCACAAACATTTCACAGCGAACGTTCCAATGTAGCGGGTTTTTATAGAATGTGCTGCATTTTTGCATCAATATAATTTCAAAGAAGAAACGATCTATAAGCTAAAGCATGTGCGTCACACGAAAATTGTTTCCTGTTTTCGTTCATCTATAAATTCAGGAAAATCATTCCAGGTCAAAAATGTAATCAGGCATAGTTTTCCTGGGAAGGAAAAAGAAGAGTCCATGAATGTAACTATTATGAAATCAGTCAAGTATCAATGGCTTATAGAACACTCATTAAAAGGGGGAAAAGTTTGTTCAAGTTTTTTTTTTTTAAGATTTTATTTACTTATTGGGGGAGAGAGAGAGAGAGCACATGAGAGGGGAGAGGGTCAGAGGGAGAAGTAGACTCCCCGCCAAGCAGGGAGCCCCATGCAGGACTCGATCCTGGGGCTCCGGGATCATGACCCGAGCCGAAGGCAGCCGCTTAACCAACTGACGCCCCAAGTTTGCTCAAGTTTTTATGACTTCTTGGGGACTCAGCTCTCTGCACTTGCCCCTGACCAGATACTGTAAAAAAGGATTCGGGGACTATAAAGTAAGACATCAATTTAAATGCACCAAATCAATCATTTTAAATAGAACTCAAGGGAAACATTATAAATATCAAAAAGAAAGCCACATCAATGAGTGGCAGAGTTAAATCTTACTTTATTCTGTAAGGACAAGTGACAAGGCTTTTATTTACACAGGCGACTGCAAAATGTATTTATTTTGGCAAATGACACATCACACTTGCACTTTTCCAATAATATTTACTTTCTTCCTTCCCATAAAAGGTATACACACTCTGGAGAAATCCAGGAAAATTATAAAGGAACACATTAAAATCACTTGTCACTCTAACACCCAGGGAGAATCACTTTTATTTGGATAATAGATCCCCCTGACAGCTTCTCTCCAGGGTTTGAGTTCATGTAGAATTTAGAATTTTAATT